CATATTTTTTTACAATACAAAATAGCCAACTGTAAAAAGTGTGGTATATATATTCGTGTCGTTTGAAACTACTTTGTGCTGTTGGATTATAAAACCAAATTATCTTGTTGTGCCCCTCACCGACGCAGCACCACAGTTTCCTTAGCAGCAAAATCCATTTATTGATACGTTGTTAATGCATTGTAATAATGCATTGTTGGTGTGAGGCCAGAAACAACCAAAATAAACCTAAAAGGCTGAATTTGGATAAATTATAATGTTTCAGTAAGTGCGTGCGAGCCTTTATTATTTTTTTTTTAATCGCGCGGATAAAGTTAGAATTTTTGCCTTAAACTGACACTTACTTTGTAAGGAAAGTTGTATTTCAGTTTCTTGTGTTTGGTTTTATTAGTCATACACCGGTGATTAGGACACAAAACAAGGCACATTTATTCGTTGCTTTGTTATGCATCCAAGAATAGCTAATTCAGAACTATTCTTTTCCTTCTTACTGAGAAACCAGAGTGTGTTGGATTGAAATCCAATGCAACATTTAAGTAAGACGTCATTAAGAACTAACAAACTCAGAAATTTCGGAAGATTTCATGCTTCGAGGCTGTTTCATTTAAACTTTTTAAAATAACCATAGTTTCATGATCACTCATCTATTTAATGCTTTGATCTCACCCTAGCTATTTTTATTCATCCTTGAATAACAGGGGAGGTTTTGTTTCAGTTTCTAACGTTTGGTTTCCTTGGTCATGCGATCAGAATACTAATCAAGACTTGCGCGCATTTGTATTTTTTTTTTCCGCGTGTAATCTGCTAAAAAAATAATTTTATAGCCTTCTTTTCGCTTTAACGTAGATGTGAAGGATATCGAACAAAAGAACAGTTTTTTGATTAGATCAATTATCAATTATCAATTACTTTGTGTGCCTAGTTACGATCGTAGTTACAATGTTTATCTTTTTCCTATTGGTTTGTAATCGGATCTTTTAGCGTCACCACGCGCATATAAAAGCTAAGTTAGCGTCCCTTTAAGCCAGAGTTTCGCTAGATTTCGCCTTGAATAGCAGTACCTTCGTTCTTTCGTTCTAAATCTTTGGCAAAAGCGGGACCGATATGTAAGTAATTTTGTTAGTTTTATTTCAATGTGTTTAAGTTTAGTTTTTCACCTTGGGCGATAACGCACATTTGTACTGTGTTGTACAATAGTATAATTAATTATCTTGAAATTAAAAGAGTAATTTGAAAGAACTAGACGCTCAGACAGCAACGCCCACATTTTAGTCTTTGGGCTGTTAATCAGCCGCAAATGTTCATCGTGTAGCCGATCTTTGAATCTCGAGTAGTTTTAATTTAGCCTTTTATGATTTGTTTATGTTAATTTACGTTAATTGTTGTTATTTTAATCGCATTATCGATATAGGCACGTAAAGCGTTTCTTTCATGCCTTTCGCACCAATTCAAGTAGATTAATGTATTCGTTATAATATTCTTGTAATTTCAGTTTACGATCGTGATCGTCTTTGTGATCGTCTTCGTCTTTGTCTTCGTGATCTGAATAAACACCGTTAACCGTCATCTTGGTTTTCGTGGTTTTACTACGACCTGTAAAATAGTCCCGACATCAGCGACACTTAGCAAACACGCCTTAGCGACACCACTCGAAGTTTCGTCTTTCGTCGCAAGCGTCACAGTAGAAAATGAAACAGTTCGCACGCAAATTTCTAGACTTTCCTGTTTGAAGATTTAAAATCCAAATAATCTAACAAAGAGTTGAAGATTTGCTTTTAAACAATTTGACTTCGGCTTTGATATGTCTGTAAAATGAATACGTCTACGCCACCATGGCGCTTTGACGTGAAACACCCTACAGCAATTCTCCTTTCAAGCTACTTTACATTTTCTCATATATCATTTTGGAGAATTTGGTTTTTGATCAAAATAACAACCTAAAGCTGATAGGCAAATTTACCTAAGCATGTTTGGTTGAGTTTTTGTCTGAATAACTGCAAACAGTGCAACTGTCCATATACTTCTTTTCATTTCTAATTACGGCGAAAATATATATATTTTTTATTGCTTTATGATATAAGTGGGTGAAATATTGAATGTATAGATCGTTGTTAATCAGTTCAGGTTAGGTTAGGAGCAACTCATTGTTTCATCGCTAGAGCTTTGATTCGCTCCTGCAAAGACTATCCACATTTATCTGGTAACTTCAAGAGTAATAAACGACGACTCACGCCTGAGAGTCTCCTGATTGAAACGAATATTCATGGCGCCTCCTGAAGTTAAGCGCTCTTCAATTTGATTGAGCAAAGTAAATAAGTGGATTGAGGATGCTTTATAACTGCAACTGTAACGAGAGGACCAAGGAGAGAAACACTAGCGCCTAACCACTGTGGACTGGGAGTCAAGCGAAAGGGAAACTGAGATTTTACTAGAGATGACTGTTAAGGTTTTTATTTGCTATATCCTCCTAGAATTAGATTTAAAAGATTCTAAGGCTCTGGCTCGTCCAAAAAAACCATCCGGACTAGTGGACAACAACTTCTCTCAAAGGCTTAAACTCAATTCTGGTACATAAACGCTATGCGTGTGTCAATAAACACGCCCTCTGATAAGATAAACAGTATTCGGTTCCATGCCGGGTTCTAATTAAAAAATAGCATAAATGTTCGCAATGTTGAGTTCTTAAGGTTTGCAAGGTTCAATTCTTGAGGTTTGCAAGGTTCAGTTGTAAGATTCGTGCTCTGTTTTTTTCGACTTTAAGAGGACACCATCTTAATGTGGACAAATTAGGCATGATAACAATTACTCCTGGGGGGGAGGGTAAGGAGGTACATGAGTTGAAAGAGGCCTGGCGTTGCGCGAGGATTGAGACGAATGAAAACTGAAACAGACAAGGAGATAGTTGCGTCCAATGACGCGCGCAGAAGATTAATGTTGAAGGCGATGAAAAAGGTGCGAATAAAGATGGGAATAAAGGAAAACTTGCATCCTTAAGATATGGAGAGAGACGACAAAAATCAACCCAGATTTTGAATTTTATACCCTGTTTATTTCTCTTACGCAAATAAGTAACCAAAATAAGTACAATGGAAACTGCTTTAAATTGTGCAAGGCTTTAAGTGAAGTACGCGCTAAGAGGAGACACTAAAATGAACCCATTTACTCCCAAAACTGATTATAAATTATATGAGCTAGAAACGTGATGTTACATAGAATTCTCGGAAGGAAGCAACAAAGAAACACATTCTTATCATTTGGGAGAATTTGTCCTCAGAACTTAGGAGTTTATGAGTTAATTAAACTAAGGTAAATGAACAATTATCTTCAACTTTAAATAAAAATAGCATTAAAACACTTCACACGAAATACACTGACATTATACAAAGCAAATTTTAGTTAAAACTATCCCAGCTTGTTTTTAAAATCCTATGTTATATCATATTCAATCATGTGCAAGTTAACTATTACATTTTATACCAGCATATACCAAAAGTAGTCATAAAAATCTGCAAAATTAATATTGATTGTAATATTGATTTCTTTCTTCCAAAACAGTTTTGATACAGTATATCTTAAACTTTTGACTACATAACGGGTTCCAATTACAAAGCGCGCTCTTAATACCTAAAATCTAAGAAAGATATTATCAGACATCTTCAAATTATACTACGGTGAATTTTGAACAGGGAATTTTCAAAAACTGAAAGTTTTCTCCTGAAGCCCTGAACCTTTTCAACTAGGGACTAGATTTTGCATTTCTTCATTAACCTTTTACCAAAATAATTCCCGTCGGCAATGGCTTATTTGAATTGCTTCTCTAATTTATGGGCGTAAATATTTTCCTAAAAGAAACAACAAATTCTCTGTCACATACGTTAAGTCACATCTATGGAAACTTCAGTTACAGTGAACTCTGCTTTGCTGTTTTTTTGTTTTGTTTTTTGTTTAGATCACATGGACAATTTTAACCTCACTGTCGTGGTTCTTTAAAACGAACAGATACGTGTTTGATAAAACAGACAAATTTTGACCAAACTCACTTGATTAAAACAAGGTTGTAGCCAGCTTTTTAACTTGTTGTAGGCTTTTTCCGTAAGAAATTTCAATTCTAGTTTCAACATTTGCAAGAGCCATATTATAAAAGTCAAGTAGGCGGAAAACAATTATAGGCCAGGCTTACAGGACTAGAGGCTGGCTACATCCCTAAAAGTAGGTCTAATGTCTCTAACATATGGCCAGTAGCATATCATCCCTGATGTTTACTTCTTCAAATTAAGCTTAGAATGGCAATCTTGGAACTGACAATTAGATTGCATTAAAATGGATAACAAAAAAATACTCAATTTTTCTTGTAAAGATAATCTCAATTTGTAATAAAGTAACTTATGATCTAGAAAAGTCTTCCAATTTTAATTAACATACTGCTGCAAATTTTGCAAATCAAATTTTTGAAATTAAAATTCCGCCCTCTTTTGCAAACAATGAACTGTTTCTTTGCTTATCAAAAGCTTAGAGTATAGACGTGATTAAAACCCGGTAGCCAAGGTCCTGGTTATGTACAAGAAAAAACTTTTAAATTGTTTTTCATACAACTGATTGTAATACATGAATAGAGCAGAGTGTCATTTTGGCGAAAACGGAAACCTCGTATTCACCTTCAACCTCTGTAGGCATTCATAACAGAAGCATTGTTGCATTTCATTCTCTTTGCAAGCATTTAAATTTGTAAAGGTAAGACAAAATAGACAATTCCACTGATCAAAATAAAATGAAATAGTCTGTTTTATTTTTTCGCCAAATTAAAGTTACACGTCTCAAGTTCCATTTAACAGAAAAGTAAAAGTAATAAAAAATAGCCAAAAATTGCCAAAACAGAGAAACATTTAAACCTACCAAGTTACTGCGTCATTCTTTCTGAGATAAAAAAAATCATTTATGTGATTTTCAATTCAAATTTTATCGTTCCTATGCCATGAAATCAAGACTAACGTCATCTCCAATCAGTAAAAGGGCGCCCAGTATTTGATATCGCGGAACTCGTCTGATTCTCTGAGGTTTTTCATAGCCAGGTTCAGTGACTCGCTTGCAGGTTTACCTTCTGCAAGGTGTTGATAAAAGCATTTCATGAACTCAAGAGTAACTTTGTCTTCAACCGCCCACAGGGAAACCACAACAGACCGAGCACCAGCCCCCATAAAAGCGCGCAATGCCAACCACACCTTCAGCCTTGATCTCGCCCCGACCACTGTAGCAGCAACTAAGTACAACTAGTTTGGCGCGAAGTTGAACATTCATCACATCTCCAATTGTTAAAATGTAATCCTCTTCCGTTGGCACAGTAGATATTCGGTCTGGGTCAGGTGTAAGAGCAATTTCGCCAGTTTCCATACATCCGTGTGCCGCAAAGTGAACTAAGGAAACGGAACTGAGTCTTTTCAACACCTCACGTTTCGTGGCTTCTCTGCCAGTGATTCGCGTGATATTCAGAATTTTTCCGATCATTTCTACCTCTTCTTTAGCACAAGGAAGCTGCTCGAGGAGTTTCTCTCCCTGGCTGTTAGTAACCTCGGCTACCCACGGATCTCCTACAAGTAACGCACCACTGCTTTTGTGATAGTCATCTGGGCAATCGGCAATGAGTCTAAGACTAGTTAACGATGGAGCGAGACGGATTCTGAACTATTCACACAGGTATTTAGAATTACCATCCTTGAATGCAGTGTAAGGAGCGAGCCACAGGGGTCCATCGGGAATAATGAGTAGCTCATCCCCTTGAACCAAGTCAGCCACCGGCTTCATAACGGTATTATACAAAGTGCTCAAGCATTTGTTTTGTTGGATGGAAGCTTGAGGGTTGTCTTCTTTCGTTTCCTGATCCACTTTTGAACGGTCCTCGCTCAAAGCATCCAAAGATCGGTTCTCACATCTCACATTAGAACGAACACCAAGTTGTGTATAGACACCGAGCATGAACGACTCAAAGGACTGACTAGCCCCACTGTTCTCTGAAACAGAACCATTGAGTTTACTTTGTCTTAACTGAACTTGTTTTCCTTCGGACACAACCCAAAGATTGACGTCAGCTCTGTCCATTGCCTGAAAGACAGTGTTTGATGGAACGTTTTTTAAAACTACTTAATCTTCATCGCTTCCCTTGCACTGACTTGTTCCACCACAAAAACGGGATTCCATAAGGTCGGTGAGAGCTTGGGCTCGTCCTTTATCAGCGGCAAGTAAGGCTTCATCTATATTACCTTGTTTTACGAGAACTCTCCACAAACCCGTATACGCCATTTGATACTGATTTCGAAAATTAACTTTTCATTCATCTTTAGATTTTAGAAGTATTCTCAAGGAATTAAATAAGTTTATGCTAGCTCGGTAAGATTCAACAGCTTTTGGCAGTCGACCCTGCAAATCAAAAACGGGTCCTAATGAACAGTGGGCCATTGCCTCCAAGGATTTATCTTCGACCTCTTTGGCAATTTTGAGCATTAGCTTGAATGACTTGTTGGCCTTGATCAAATCTCCCTGAGTTCGATACACATTGCCAACATTGCCATAAGCACCACCCTCTCCATGCTTGTCTCCTACTTCTATAGCTATTTTAAGATCTAGGTTGTGGCACTCTATGGCTTTTTTGATCTCACCTAGTCTGTCATAAGCAATGCCAAGATTTCCATAAGTTTTACCCTCCCCATGCTTGTCTCCTACTTCTTTAGCTATTTTAAGATCTAGGTTGTAATACTCTATGGCTTTCTTGAAATCACCCAGACTGTGATAAGCAATGCCAAGATTGCAATAAGCTTTACCCTCCCATGCTTGTCTCCTACTTTTTAGCTATTTTAAGATGTAGGTTGTGGTACTCTATGGCTTTTTTTGAAATCACCCAGTTTGTCATAAGCAATGCCAAGATTGCCAAAAGCATTACCCTCCCCATGCTTGTCTCTTACTTTTTAGCTATTTTAAGATGTAGGTTGTGGTACTCTATGGCTTTTTGAAATCACCCAGACTGTCATAAGCAATGCCGAGATTGCCAGAAGCGTTACCCTCCATGCTTGTTTCCTATTTCTTTAGCTATTTCAAGATGTAGGTTGTTATACTCTATGGCTTTCTTGAAATCACCCAGACTGTGATAAACATTGCCAAGATTGCCGTAAGCTTTACCCTCCCCATGCTTGTCTCCTACTTTTTTATCCATTTTGAGATGTAGGCTGTGGTACTCTATGGCTTTTTTGAAATCACCCAGTCTGTAATTAGCATTGCCTAGATTGCAATAAGCGGTACTCTCCCCATGCTTGTTTCCTACTTCTTTAACTGTTTTAAGATGTAGGTTGTGGTACTCTATGGCTTTTTTGATATCACCCAGATTGTAATAAGCAATGCCAAGATTGCCATAAGCACTACCCCCTCGATGCTTGTCTCCTACTTCTATAGCTATTTTAAGATCTAGGTTGTGGCACTCTATGGCTATTTTGAACTCACACAGTCTGTCATAAGCAATGCCAAGATTTCCATAAGTTTTACCCTCCCCATGCTTGTCTCCTATTTCTTTAGCTATTTCAAGATGTAGGTTGTATAATTCTATGGCTTTTTTGAAATCACCCAGACTGTGATAAGCAATGCCAAGATTGCCATAAGCATTACTCTCCCCATGCTTGTTTCCTACTTCTTTAGCTATTTTAAGATGTAGGTTGTGGTACTCTATGGCTTTTTTGAAGTCACCCAGACTGTGATAAGCAATGCCAAGAGTTCCATAGGCTTTACCCTCCCCATGCTTGTCTCCTATTTCTTTAGCTATTTCAAGATTTAGGTTGTAGAACTCTATGGCTTTTTTGAAATCACCCAGTCCGTAATTAGCATTGCCAAGATTGCCATAAGCTTTACCCTCCCCATGCTTGTCTCCTACTTTTTTATCTATATTAAGATGTAGGTTGTGGTACTCTATGGCTTTCTTGAAATCACTCAGACTGTGATAAGCATTACCAAGATTGCCATAAGTGTTACCCTCCCCATGCTTGGCTCCCCAACTATAGAGGTCAATGACTTTCTGGACATCACCTGAACTTGGAACACCATGGTCATAAATATTGTAATCTTTTTCCTCCATGGACTTATCTCCCACTCCTTCCACAGACTGAAGTCTTAATGACAACAAAATCATATGACTGTTGTCAATCTTTTTTCAATGTTAAGGTTTAAAAATGTAGAAAAAAGCAGTTATGTGCTTCGTTCCCAAGCCTTTGAACAGGACTGTGGCTAAGGGTGACCTTGTTATGATACAACATTGCTGCTTTTCAAATGCGAATTACTTTGTAATTATGCTCACTCACTCCAAATCAAAGGCTTGGCAACTAAGTACACAACAGTAAAATGGCCTCTTAGGAGGGCTTGCATGAAAGGTAGTTGTTTGATCAACATTCAGTCAATCGATCTACATATCATAAAAAGGTTTCTTCGGTGTACAACCTCAAATTTTAACATGAAATATCTAGATATAATCTGTTATTTCCAAAAAAACTGGGAAGCACTTTCTTGATTTTTAAATTTATGTATCTTTAACTTCAGACTATAACGTTTTACAGCAACTGGAAGAAATGACTCTAAAACACAGATATGTGTCTTTCAAAGTTGTATTTGTCCATAGGAAAACACGACAAAGGTTTCTGAGTCTCTCAATAGCAGAAAAAAAAAATCAACATAATACATTGTACAGACATTGCCAAGCTTCTTTTTCTGACTTGTTTTAGAGAGATTATCTATCCACATACCGTACATACACCGGGTGAATATTAGTATTTTAGCTAAACTCATGTACCAGTTGTGGCATAGTATGACTATTAAGAACAAGTCTCTGTAAGATTCATACATCTTGGGAAATGAAAATTTTCAATCCTGCTTTTCTCTCTTTTTTTTTTTTGGATTTTTTTACTTCAAAAAGTGGAAAACTGCTGACATATATGAAAAATATCCA